GTTCCACTTAAATAGAGCCTGTGTGGAGGGCTCTGGATCGTAGCCACTAGCTTTAGTCCATCGATGCCTCCTTGTGTATGTTTATTCTTTTTGATTTCAGTAGAACTTAAGCATATGTACTTGAGCACAAGCAGCAAAATAATTGACCAACCAGTATTCTAAAATCCAGTTCAGAGAAAGATTATTAGTCTGTTTGTATGATTTAATTTCATCTGATGTTTGGATTAAACTGAGGTAGTGAGAGGGGGAACCCAGTGGGAATCTTTGTCCAAGGGACTGTGGTTGCTTTCAGTAGCCCTTTCTCAATGTGAAATGATTAAATCTGCAGCCAGTCTCCATTTTAGGAATTTAACTCTCTGATTCTACCTTTCTTTCTTCTCTCAAGCACACCTTTACTCAAGTATAGAACAGTCTCCTGACCAGAAACTTCCCTTTGTTAAAGGTACTTATCCAGCAATCAAAACACTGTGGTTAACTGCAGAACTCATGGTCTCCTGTCTGCGTCCAGTACTGATGGTGCCTTTGTCTGTTCTTTGTATATAACTTGAGAAACCAGTTTTCCATAACCTGTGGCTAAGCCTGGATTTTCATTTCTAAATACAGAAACTGGTATGTATCCAGATTGTGTACAGTTGCTCAAAAACACTGGTAGGCAACCAAATTAATCACAGTAATATATTTAGTGCCATAACCTGATAGCCCAGGTTAGGCCAGTCTCATCCGATCTTCGACACTAGCCAGAGCCCTGATTAGTACTTGGGTGAAAGACCACCAAAGAAGTCCAGAGTTCTGATGAGGCAACGGCAAGCCACCTCTAAATGTCTCCTGCCTTGAATACTCTACAGGGTCGCCATAAGTCAACTGCCATTTGATGGCACTTTGCACACACATACAACATAGTTAGCACATCCCTCTGAAAGAATTTGTCCTTCTGACTGTAACAGTAGTAGGTGATATTCTAGCACCATCTACTAGATATTGGAAGAAGCACTAGCACAAGCCAGTGTGCAATGGGGATCAAGCCTTCTCTATTCCAGCCTCAAAGAAAATTTGTAATCATGAGAAACCGGCCATAGAGCTGCATGCATTGTTAGAGCCTCTATCCCTTTTCATATGAATAGGGTAACAAAGTAATCCTTTTAACTACAAATCTTAAGGTCCCTTGTAAGACCTGGGGGATCTGAGTTCCCTAAATATTCTTGAAAACCTTCTTGTAGTAAATCAGCCTATGGCTAAACTTCACCTTGTAGTAAATCAGCCTATGGCTAAACTTATTGGTATCTTTTGAGCAATTATTTTCAGTACTCGAATCTGTGTCAAGACTTTAAGATATTTCAAGGATTCTGTCCATAGCAATCTTGTTTTCCTTTTGTTTTAGTAAAGCGAATAAGTGATATTATGATATAATGAAAGCCTAGCATTTCTGCCATTGGATGTTTTACTGCCATGTTTTTAATAACAATATTAAAGTGCCTGCATTTGAAACCTGATGATGCTTATGCCACTTTGTAATTAATATCCTTTTGATAACCTAAATGTTTATTGATTACTCAGGATCTGAGTGTGTATCTGTGATTTTATCGAATGTAGCAAACCTGTGGAAAAGCCCATTTCTGCTTAGAAATAGGAGGGTGCATCCCTAGTTTTCTCAAATCTAGAAGATTGATTTCAAACTACAAAATCAGTTTGGCACCCCAGACAAACTTAATTTACCATCTACTTCATGCCTACATCCTTTATGTTATTATAAAGAACCATTATACTTTAGTATTTGCACACTTCTACCTACTTGTGTCCACAAGGTTCAACAACTGAAGTCAGCTGAACAATTTATGTGAAGTTAATTGTGCAGGATGTGGTTTACCCCTGGCTACAATTATTAAGTGCATTTCAGGGAACCAAGCTATGAAAATGTTATTGACCTTGAATCTTAGGGAAATGGTGAACTATAAATCTAAGTGAAGAAATATGACCCAGCTAGGTGCAAAGTAGTTCTGTCTGAGCCTTGCCACCAAAGCCTAATGTGAGCAACAACCCAATGTGAGCCATAATTCATTTAGCAGTGATCCCCTCTAAGCTGTGGAATCTAGTGAGCAAAAATTCTATTTTGCGAGCGACTAGCAGTAAAGGTGTGAGCGAGCAATTTGGCTACTGATAAGCTTATCTTATCGGCTTCAAAAGGGAATTAGATAAGCATATGGAGCAGAGGTCCATCAGTGGCTATTAGCCACAAGGTATAGATAGGGACTCTGGGGCAAGTGATGCTCTGTCATCTTGGTGCTTGGGGGGGTCAACAGTGGGAGGGCTTCTAATGTCCTGGCCCCACTGGTGGACCTCCTGATGGCACCTGGTATTTCTGACCACTGTGTGATACAGAGTGTTGGACTGGATGGGCCTTTGGCCTGATCCAACATTGGCATCTCTTATGTTCTTATGTACTGCATAAATCAGTTTGCTGGGCTTTGGAACAGGCTGTAATGGTGTGAATCTGACATGGTGATTCTGCCTAATTTAAAACTCAGTGCAGCTTGATAAATCTTTCCACCTGCACGCTGAGGCTTCTTGAAAGATCTCTTTTTCTCTTTCTTCTTGTGCTAAGCAAGAGTCCTACCCAGGGGAATGGGTACAATTGCTCCTTCTGAATGGAAGACTGGATCTTAGGCATTTTGTGACCATCTTTGATTTCTTGAATCTACCAGCTAATACTGATTGTCAAGTACACGGTGGTGTTGGGTATGCTATACACAATTTCTTCTGACTCATTCGCTATTTCACAAATATTAGGGTACAGTGAGGTTGTAGTTTTTCATATCTGCCACAATCATACAGTGGTGTAGCTCAATTTAGGCAGGGGAAAAATGAAGGCTTCAGTTTACGAATAAGAAGGGAGCATGTAGGAATGGTTAGACTAGCACTGGGGCAGAGGATGGAAAACTGAAATTAAAATGCAACTGGAAAAGTCAGGATACATCCGAAGTTCCTCAGCAGGGAATGTAGGAAGGAAATGAAAATGGTGAGATTTACAATTTCGGTACTGGTTGTGTAGGAATACAGCTGAACTATGAGTTTTCCTACTGTGCTTGGATACAGTATGCTTTAACTCAGAATTTTTTTTAGAAATGAATGCTGAATATAATATTTTTATGGTTTCCTTACTATTACTTAGATGGATGAATAGTTTATGACTAACAGTGGCCAATCTTTCTGGTAGGTATATTTGCAAGTCAAGTCCAAAGCATGTGTTTGTGCCACTCTTATGCTCACTAGAGTACATAAGCATGCACCCATAGATACAGCTGTCTTGGGGTAGTTAAACTCTGCTTTACTGCAAATGAGAGCAGGAAGACAGGAGAGGCAAACTGGTATATCGGCCTGACGGCCTTGATTGTGTGCCACAGCCTGGCCTGCAGTCACCCATTGTGTGCCCACAGTGATACTTGGATCACCCATAACTTATGGTTTCCAGAGGAATGGCTTCTAGTGGTTCCCAAGTGTTGCATTATTGACTGCAGAGACAAGATGGCAAATGGTGACCTTGTTTATTGATGCAAAGTCACAGCCTTGTCAGCATCCTCTTCTTGAGTTGAATGAAGACCCCTGAATTTACTTTACTAACAAATACAGAGATGGCGCAAAGGAGAAACAAGTGTTTTTCATTAAAATAAATTATCTACATATAACATTTTTTCCTCTTGATGTCTAAAATGGTAAAAATTCCAACATTAGGGGTGGGAGGGACAAAAGTTATCTTAAGAACTTCCATTATGTACAAACATTATAAAAACTGCACAGACCATCAAATTATGTAAAGTTCCTTTTCAAAAACTAAAGGCTTTTTAAAAATGGTGATCAAAATTGCCAGCTGATATTTTAGTTATAAATTGTCTTTACAAGTAAGAAAAAAATAAAAGATTTTAAAAGGTGTCATCAGTGGAATACACAACAATATTAAGCAAGCCCTGCTAAATTGTTGGGATTTCCCCCCAAATCAAGAAAATGCCGAATGTACACCCCAAAAGGAAATAATAATTGTAATGTACTCTTTGGTAACCAAAAGTGAGCAAGCATTCAATATTTCAAGTGATAGGTTATTGAAAAAAATCTCTCCATTTTGACAAACATGAAAAACTGGCAACAATGCAAATTCTACATAGTTTATTTGAGAATGGGACTCTTTGCAGCTTTTCAGAGCTAGAAATGTATGGTTGTGTTTGCTTATCCCTGTCCACCCCTGAATGTAACTACACATTTCTTATAAACAGCAGAACAAAGCTTGAGTCCAGTGGCACCTTTTAAGACCAACAAAGTTTTATTCAAGGTATGAGCTTCTGTGTGTACACACATTTCCTCAGATATATGCATGCACACAAAAGCTCATACCTTGAATAAAACTTTGTTGGTCTTAAAAGGTGCCTCCGGACTCAAAACTTTGTTCTGCTGTTTCAGACCAACACGGCTACCCACCTGGATTTTAAAAAAACAGCAGTTATTATTTTAATTCTAAAGAACATCTTGATTTCCATTCAAAGAAACTTATCCAGGAACATGGGCTTCTGTAGGCCCAAGACTGTAAATGTGGCTGCACAGCAGTCAGTTCTGGATTACAACAGTCCGTTCCTGTTGGGCTGTTACAATATTGAATCTGTTCAGAATGTGGGTGGCCGATCGGTGATGCTGTTGGTAACATGGTCAAGCCTAGAGAAACCCACACCAGGAGCAGCTGTGAAGATGCCAGCCCAGCTAATCTAATAGGCTGCATATTTCACTCTCTCTGCCCCAGTTCAAGAGAGATTACTAAGTTTCATAAATAGAACACTTATAAAGAGCTACTGCCACCCTGTACCACAGAAGCTTCCCATTTTATTTGCAGACTTACTCTAATTTTTACTCCCTCTCCCCCCAAAAAAATAATAATAATCACATACAGCCCAAGATCTGACGACAACATTTTTGTTTCACAAGAGGCTTTTAAAAAAGGTTTTAATGTAGAAATCTGCTGGTTAAGTTTAATTTTATTTCGTCACAATCCCCATCCAACCAAGCCATGGAGAGATTGGTGCTGCAGCTGCCACAGATGAGCACACGTTAAATGCTTCCCAATGTAAGTGGTAATGATTTAGGCTCTCTCCTAGGCCTGGCTTATTTCATATTCCTTTTGGAAGTCTAACGCCATAGCGTCTTACTTCTGAATCCTCACTGAATTATTTTTTTCAGCTGGTGGGCATACAGATATCCTTAAAGGATCCAGTGTTCTCAGTTAAGTTATTAACGCTGGGTAAGTTGTGGTTTTCTCACTGGAGTGGGCCTCTTCATCAATGTCAACTTCATCAATGTTAAACACATCGAGTGACCCCTCGGAAGTCCTATGAGTCCTGCTCTCTGAAGGCTCAACTGCTTCCACATCTCCCTCACTGATAACAGTCATGGGGCTACTCTGGATCCGGTTTCGAACATTGTATTTGCTGCTTGCGGCAGACGGTGGGGTTCGAGATCGGCTATACCGGGTGCTAGAAAAAGACAGACTCCTTGGCATGAGGCCTTCACTCTTGGCCCACTCTTCCTGGGCCCGCCTGGTCTTGGTAGGAGAACAGTTCATACTATTTTCAGAAAGGTCCCAAGGAGAATCTACCTTGGCTCTTTGAAATCGTGGGTCTGTATTCTTTAGCATCTCTGCAGCAGACATGCGAGAGCTGGTATCTGATCGACTCCCCTTTTTAAGCAACAGTGCTTTGAAATTGTCATTGCTGGTGCTACTTTTGCGGATATTTCTCTGAATTGATCCTGCCTGCTTGAGGGAAGCCAGATTTGGGGAAGTACCAGTGGGTGTAACTGGAGGTGATGGAGAATGATTTCGAGCACGGTCATCATCAGAGTCTTTGCGGCCAAGGATTTTCCTTTTGGATCTGTGATTTTCATGCACAAGAAGAAGATAAAAGAGAGAACCAGAGGAACAGTTATTAGTTTTCCACAAAAAAAGGCATGCCGCTTCACAAAAAAGGTACTGCCGCTCCATATAACAGCATAAGAAGCCAAAGAACAAATAAGAGCAATTACACAAAACTTAATTACACAAAACGTAATTTATTACAATTCTGCAGGGCCTGCAAGACGGAGCTCTTCCACCGAGCTTTTGGTTGAGGCAGCGGGCGTCCCCCTCCTTGGGTCAGCCCCCACTTATAGCCTGGGTCGGCCCCTATTTACAGCTGGGTCAGCCCCCCATTTACAGCCTGGATTGGAGACCCTAAATTTAACAGATCTCTGGGAAATTATTCCCAGTATAGCTGGCTTTTATTAGAGTTATATGTTTTAATGTGGTTTTAATTGTATTGAATTTTATATTGTTGTACTGTATTTATATTGTTGGAACCCACCCTGAGGCCGTCAAGGGGAGGGCGGGATATAAATCCAAATAAACATAAACATTAATAGAAGATATTCCTAGAAAAAAAGGAATTGTAATAAGGGAAGCCTAAAGCATTTATTTTTATTTCACCTGTACAGAACTAAATGAATCCAGTCATGATATCCAAGTTGGCTTAGGGCATTTTGTCATGAAAAAATTTTTTTGAATCTTGCTAAACCATATTATCTTAATGAAACATGTTTGCAACACAGTAGCCTTCTTAAATGAACACAATCTGGGGGATATATACTAATTATATTTGTCATGGTGTCCAAAATGCCAGATTGAAAAGAATGAAATCTAAATTAAATTCATATGCTCTGTGGGAAGCTAACAACATAACAAGTGTTTTGCCGTATCACATAGTAATTTGCATATAGATTTATCTAAAAACAGCTAATTGACTTGCAAAGAGGGAAAGATATATCACTTAAAACAGCTAATCAATCGACATTGAAGGGAAACCACACAGCTTACAGGTTAAACACCGAAAAAAGATGAATGATTACCTACATAGGGTAAAATGCATCCACTGTTTCTTTCTAGCTAACACCAATTAAGTACTACCTCCACCTAAGCAAAGAAAGTGTGGTATACCTTGCTTTACTGTCTGTTACAAACAGAATGGTCTATTAAAGCATCACTTTTCAAGGAGAAAACTAAAACCAATGTAGTCTTGGGGTCTACCCTGCCTCTTGTCTGCCCCTCCCTCTCCAAGGGAGAAAGTAATTGGGAACAGGGCTATACTGCATTTATTTGAACACTTGAGTGGCTGAATGCAAAAGCTTGCTTGGTCAACAATAAGCTTCAGAAATCCAGGAGCCTGTCTTTTTCTCTCCTCCTCTTGCACTGAAGACTTTCTGATTTGTAACCAATTGAAACTATTTATGTTATCAAATTGTGACTTCTTGCTGACTAGGCAGAACTGAACTGTGGAATCCAACTCTGTAAACAAAGTTGTAAACTAAACTCCAATTCATTGTTTAATCTTGGCATGGGTATCACAACAAATTACAGTTTGTTACAAACAAGAAAGTCTTCAGTCTGAGATGCACAGGATGAGAAGAGCAAGTGTGAGAACCTGATGACTTCTGAGCCTCTGTTCTTGGACTTGACGAACGGGAGATTATTTGGTTTCCTGACACCAGCCTTCTTGACTTGCCTCTGAAATAACAGGGTTTTTAGATACTGTGTTGATAGAGCGGACTGTGATGAAATAAATACCATACTTCCCAGTTACTTTTTACCTACTCCATACAGTAAAGACAAGGAGTAAGGCTGATATATGGCCTGTATGGCCCCTTCCAATTCCCAGAGTCATTTCTTAGAATGCAGCAAGTATTGCAAATATTATTAATCCTAATTAGTGACTTTAGGATGGCCAAGGCCTTGGGTATGCCCAGAGGGATATTGACTTTTCTCCCTTTAAATGGCAGACTCCCAGTCTTCTTTTGAAAGAACTTGCAGTTTCAAAAGAAACTAATTAGGGGTAACTTTCTCATGCAGAGGACCAGCTAAGCTGTTCTTTGGATCCTGGCATATATATGTTGAATCTATTATGGTCTACATGAATTTGCAGAACTTGCAGGGAAGCACAGAATACATTATTCTGAAACGCATAACTGCTTGCCAGAGGGATACTTCCTCAGCAGCAGCAAGACTTAAGATTTCCTTTTTTGTAACATTTAACCGTACAAAACATAAACGGGGCATGATTTGAAACTTTGTTCTTTCTTTGTGAAAAGTACACAGATCGCAGAAGAGAATGCGAAAGCCTTTAAATAACCAGGATGCAATTTTCAAAAGAAACTAATTAGGGGTAACTTTCTCATGCAGAGGACCAGCTAAGCTGTTCTTTGGATCCTGGCATATATAGGTTGAATCTATATATGGTCTACATGAATTTGCAGAACTTGCAGGGAAGCACAGAATACATTATTCTGAAACGCATAACTGCTTGCCAGAGGGATACTTCCTCAGCAGCAGCAAGACTTAAGATTTCCTTTTTTGTAACATTTAATCGTACAAAACATAAACAGGGCATGATTTGAAACTTTGTTCTCTCTTTGTGAAAAGTAGACAGATCACAGAAGAGAATGTGAAAGCCTTTAAATAACCAGGATGCAATTGCTACCTGCACAAATTAACTCAGTTGAGATCCGGCCTGTCCATGTGATACATGCCGTCAGGGCGAGCCAGCTCGAGAGCCAGTCAGCAATCTGGGGGGGGGGGTAGCTGTGTTGGTCTGAAGCAATAGAACAAAGCCTGAGTCCACAGTGGCACCTTTAAGACCAACAAAGTTTTGTTCAAGGTATGAGCTTTCGTGTGCACACACACTTCCTCAGATAAAACTTACCAGTCCATACATATAAGGCAGAGGTTGAACAACAAATTAGCATATAGCATAATGAAGATATTTTAACCGATGCAAACAGGAATATCAGGCTAAGTTTATAAAGTCACCATTGTTTGGATTTAATTCTAAACAGTGAAGCTAATAAATAAAGAAATAAAAACAGTGAAGCAAATAAATATGTCAGGATTGCTACCTGCACAAATTAACTCAGTTGAGATCCAGCCTGTCCCTGTGATACATGCCGTCAGCTTCCATTACTCTTCAGAAATCTGGGGGGGGGGGTAGCTGTGTTGGTCTGAAGCAATAGAACAAAGCCTGAGTCCACAGTGGCACCTTTAAGACCAACAAAGTTTTGTTCAAGGTATGAGCTTTCGTGTGCACACACACTTCCTCAGATAAAACTTACCAGTCCATACATATAAGGCAGAGGTTGAACAACAAATTAGCATATAGCATAATGAAGATATTTTAACCGATGCAAACAGGAATATCAGGCTAAGTTTATAAAGTCACCATTGTTTGGATTTAATTCTAAACAGTGAAGCTAATAAATAAAGAAATAAAAACAGTGAAGCAAATAAATATGTCAGGATTGGAGATAGATGTGGAGTGCTAAGAGTAATTACCTAAAACCTTGTTGTTACACTCCATCTGTCTCCTCTCAAGCATGGAGGTAACTAATAGCATCTTTTTCCTTTGAGGTGGGGTGCTTTGTAGTGCAGTGATATGTCTCCTCTATTAACAGACCAGAGAAATGCATTCCAGTATACTATTCTAATATTCGTTGCATGACATTACAATCGCTATTCTTATCTATCATTCCAAATAGGAAATACACTAAAATAAAGAAGATGCATAGTCCTTCTTGGTGAGAATACAGATGTAAGGACTGAATGAATTTAGCATATGTACTTAGCACTCCACAATTAAGAATGACACATTTACACATCGGTCTCCAATTTTGACATATTTATTTGCTTCACTGTTTTCCCCCCAGAATTAAATCCAAACAATGGTGACCTTATAAACCTAGCTTGTTATTCCTGTTTACATCTGTTAAAACATCTTCATTATGCTGTATGCTAATTTGCTGTTCAACCTCTGCTTATAGTCTGGTAAACTGCATTTCATTGCATCTGAGGAAGTGTGCATGCACATGAAAACCTATACCTTGAATAAAACTTTGTTTTATTCTTAAAGGTCTTAAAGGGGCCACTAGACTCAAACTTTGTTCTTTGGAAATCTGTTCAGTACATGCCAAGAGGTGACCACAAGATGGAGCCAGTGCTACACATTAGTTCTCCTAAGGCAAAATCACTCATGTTCTTATATTAAGTTTTCTTCTTTTCAGCAAAAGCTCCCTTACAGCCGAGGCTGGGACACAAACTTTCTGGGTTGTGATGTGACCTCCGTACAGCTGCCTTTCCTTTTTCCTTTTTGTTGATGCACATGTGGAGAGAACAAAGGCATACAGCTGCCTTTCCTTTTTGCTTTTTGTAAGGACCTGCTGTTGATGCACATGTGGAGAGAACAAAGGTGCCCTGCATCCTCTGGCCTCTCTTTGTGTGCACAGTGAGGGGAGCAGCAGGAAGAGGCAGAAGTGAGACCACTCGACAACGGAGAGAATTCCTTCATGGCTCTGACCGCTGTTTTGTTCCTCATTATGCTACACCATCTCCTACATTTCCTTTTGCTGGCTCTCTTGGTCTGCTGCTCAAGGTCCTAGCCTTGACAGTGGACAATGGTGAGGTCATAACTGTGTTTCCTGTCGCAGGATTGTGACATCATGTCCTTGTAGCTCATTTCCTCTTGGGATTGGGACTTGGGGGGTTAAGGATGTGTCCCAACCCAAGTTTTGAGGTTTTGTTTTAAAAATCAAGGGATATCGATGCACATGTCTGTATTGCACCTTTCAATCGACAAACTAGCGTGCCACAAAATAGCCCATCCTCTGGATTATGACAAATTATAATCCAGCTACTGTCATATGTTTTGTCATATGACTGACAGATCACGTTTACTTGCCAGTTTAAGCCACGCTTGCCATGAAGCATTAGCGTTGAGCCTCTGTCCCAAACTGCACCATATAATCAGCGAAGAAGAGTAAAAAGGCATGGAGGGCAGAGGGAATGAAAACAAACAAACAAAAGATACACAGAGAAAGCAACAGTATATATTAAATCAAGAAGACCGAGAGCAACAGCACAATATACACAAGGGGTTCACCTGGCATTTTCAATGGGACAAAGGCTGGCAGTCTTACCAAACTTGATCTCACTGCCAGCAAAATTAGTAAAAGGTGTTCTATGGCACACACTGACTACAAGTACATCTCACCTGCATCTAAATTTTAAAAACAGAATAGTTATAATCACTGTATATCTTGGGAGGACTTTATGAATTAAACCATGGGACAGGACATACGAAGCAACACAAAGATGACTGCTCAAGAAATACCTGTGAATGGCTGCAAAAAGATCCTCAGTCGTTCTTGGTCTAGCTGGCATGGCCACAGCATCACTACCTTCCCCATAACTGAGGCTTTGCAGGAAAAAGCTGTTGGCTGCATCTGAGTCAAACACCTCGGCTGAAAAGGAAGTGGGAAAATCATGCAGAACGATAAGTTGTCCAGCAATAGAAAAACAGAGTAATCCAAAGAAAATAAATACAGAGAGATTCCTTTCTTAAAAAGTCATCTTTTCACTTACAAAAATACCTAAACAGTGCAGTACTATGCACGTTTTATTCAGAAGTCTATTCCGCTGGGTTAAACGGGGCTTGCTCATAAGTAAATGCAGAGGTGACTGCTGCCACAATTGTCTCTGGCACTTGCAGTCTCTAAAAGGCTTGAGTGTGTTTATGGGAACAGGAAACTCCCACTGAAGTGTTTCAAAAACATCCATGATTACTGTATTAGTTTACAAGCTACAAATACATCAATATTCTCTTGAACAGGCATATAGTAGACCAAATCATTTTGACAGGTAATCTTCATTTTAAGTTAAATAAAAATGGCAATAGAGATTCTCCATGCAAGTTCTATGATTCCCCTTAGGAAAGAGTATTTGCATTGAGAGTTTTAAAATGAAGTCAATACCATAACCATCCCCTTCATCTGACACACACCCCTTCCAGTCACAAATACACTTGGAGAAGTCAGGGAACAAAAGGACAAACAGACTTACCACTTTCATCCCCTGGAGACGGCTGTCCATCTGTTCTAGTGATGCTATCTCCATTTCTGTCAGAACTGCTTCCTTCACACAAGCCAGACAGCTCCTCCTGCTTTGGCTGCAGTGACGAGACATTGGTTTCCTCTGCTTCGCACAAGGTGGAACCTGCAGCTCCTCCTCCTGGACCCAGGTTGCCAGAGTCCATTTCGTAGGAACAGAGTCCATCTGCGGGATAATCCTTAGCCAGGCTGAACTGTGCAATTGCAGCATCCCTTGTAGGCAGACTTGGAGTGCTTCTGACTGTTTCTCCCACTTCAGCTATTTTTTCTGCAGCAACATCGGGCTGTGGGGGTGGCACAATCAGGAACAGTTTGGGCTTCTTTGAAACAGGTGGTGGCTTCTTGTTTGGCAATATACCCTGAGGCTTGCTGGGTGATTCCAACTGCCCCTGAAGAGGCAAACTTTCAAGATCCGAGTGAGAACCTTCCTGCTGCAATAGTGCTTCTTCAACACTGACTGGTAATAAATCACTGGCAAAGGACTGAGCTACACTGGCTTCACTTCCAGACATTTTGCCACTGGCAAGTTCAGGGGTGTTGCTACATGATCCCTGGCCAGGACTGTAAACAAAACTCTTGTCAGAAGCACCGTGGATTTTCATCGCACCTTTATCCTGACTGTTGTGTTCTACTGACACACATGGTTTTAAAGGTGACAGTGCTGAAAAAACTTCAGTAATTTTTTCCTGAGGACTGGTTTCAGAAGTAGTTTCGGCTGGCTGGCCAACCTCTGACCTCATAGCTTTCTTCACAGACCTCAGCTGTACCATTTGCAGTGCTTCGGTGGTTACTAGAGGCATTGTAGGCTTACTGGAATCTTCTTTACTGAATGGCTGTGCCCTTGTGCTACAAGAAGTACCGTCTGGGTTATATTTCTTGAAAAGTGTGTCTTTATATGCACCTTTTGCAAACTTTGGGTCCAGAGGGGGTGCTGGTGGAGGAACTGAAGAGGGAAGGGGAGGAGGAGATGGAATGGGAGGCGACAAGGGAGAGGAACGATCGACTGATTCATCTTGAGGTGAAAAATGAAACCATGGATCACTCTGAGAAAAAGAGGCATGCACAATTGTTTCTGGTGGAGGTGGTGGGAAACTGGGAGATGCTGATCGGTGGGATTGATCCATGACATCTGTTAAGGGGGGAGGAGGGGGAGGAAGAAGACGGTCAGCAGAATCTGGAGACATTAATGGAGAAGGAGTGATTAGAGGGAAGGAAAATGCAGGGTCTGGTTTCTTTACACTCATATTCCCTTCAGTAGAAGTATTGGACGAAAGGGATGTGGAAGAGGAAGATACTGAAACAGAAGACAATAGGGATGACTTTCTTTCAGGCACTTTAGGCTTCACCTTGGGCTTCCCATTTCCTGTTGACAGAGATTTTAAAACAACAGGCACAGGTGTAAGTGCAGTGGGTGTATTGGATTGGCTGGAATAACCACTAGATGGTGATGTAACCCTATGAGACTTTTCAGGAGAAGTGCTCTTCGGTTTGGCCATCCCACTGGGCACTTGTGGTACAGAAATACGTGATCCATCACTGAGGCGGTTGATGCTATAATCATTCAGCTTGGGTGCAGAATGAACTACTGGAGATCTTAACCGATCGTCCTGTATCCCCGGGCAGTCGCTATAGTAACCCCATTGGTCAGCATACTCTGACTTGATGCTGCTCGTCTCGCTCTGGGAAGGTGTGACGGCACAGATGGAGTACATGTTCATGCCTGTGGCAGACATCACACTGCTGCTGGCACTCACAGAGCTCTGGCTACGAGAGCGCAGCACCCATGGGTCATCATAATCGCTGCAGGGGCTTTGAGATGGGGAGCCACCATTTTTACACTTAAGGTTCAATTGCAGGGAGTGCTGGAGGCTCGCGATTAGCTTGTCATCCAGAACTTGTCCACTGGACTGAGCTTTCTTCTTGGGGATCCTTCTGAGAGAGTCCGTTCTGGAGGGTGGCAGAGGTGGTTTCTTTGCTTTTTTCAAGGATATGCTCCGTGAGAGGGATTTGTCATTGCAGTTTGACAAGTCCCCCAGTGATCTCTTTTCAATTCCATCAAACACATTAATAACACTGTGCCTGGGGTTTCCAAAGCCATTATTATTAATGCAATTTTTACCAGACTTCAGACCTGAATCCATATGCATGGAAGTGTAATAGCCATCATGGTCCACTGAATACAAAGAGCTTGAGTCTTCTTTGGCTGAGACTTGTTCAAGGCTATTTGTACTCACATTGCTCACGGGTGTGGTGCATCCTGGAGTGGCACAATTTGGCTTGTGTAAGGCTACCTCTTCGTTTCCTGTAGATTTGAACTCGCAATGCCTCATGCTGCCCTGACCTATGCCCTGTGTTTTATCCACTGAGTAACTGGACTCACTCCTAATATCACTGTTTTGAGAATGACTTGGGCTGAAATTATTCCTAAAGCTGTAGGTGATATTTTGGGACCCATTCTCCATACCTACTGCACCACTAAGTGACACACCGGAATCTCCTATAGCAAGCACTACCATAGGATTTGATGAGATAGTGTCCAGGGACTGTGAGTTCTGGGCAGAACTGGTCTTGTTCCAGCTGCTAGAGGAAGGGTGTTGATCTTTTGTGCTTACCATGCAGTTGGCAGTAAGATTGTCTCTTGGTTTTGTATATGAAGATGAGTTGGTGTTTCTATTATCTGGTGATCGAGCACTCGGTGTAGTATGAATAGCAATCACCTCTGAAGAGGCTGGTAGGGCAGCATTTGGTATGAGATGGGTTGAGTATGTAGCATGTGCAGAGACCACGTCTGCTGGGCTTTCTTCCAGTTCACTCTCGAAACTCTTTACCTCTTGAGATTTCGGCCTTTGAAGCATTCCTGTCTTACTACTGTTCCTCATAGGAATCGCACTATCGTCCACTTGCAATTTGCTTATCTGGTAGGACACAGTTCCGTTTTCTGTTGACTTGGAGATGCTATGCCTCCGTTCCAGTACGTGCAAGGAAACCCTTGCTCCCGAACGAGGTAGACTGTGAAAACCCAGGTCAGTGTTTAGCCGAGAGGCAAATACGACTCCTGCAGAATCACTCATCACAGACATGTTTCCAGAGGAGCTGGACAACTGAGACATCTGGGCAGCAATTCCTTGTCCTTTCTGTGCACGGATTCGCCTCACTGAAGGTGGCACCACTTTCACTTCCTCTGTCTGACAACTAGAGTCTTTGGTCTCAGATCTCAGCATGGGAGAACGACAGCTATCAAGCCTTCCTAGGGTGGAATAGTGATCTGGGACACACAAGGAATGGCTACGAAAGTCATTCTGAACACTGCCAACTGTAGAAGTTAAAACAAAACAATCATTACACATATGACTATATTTCACCACCTTTAAAACTGACTCTATGGAGTATTTCTTTTACAAAAATATATATAATTGGTCATATTTAATTTGCTGCCCTACAAAGTTTGTCCAAATGTAAATAATAAACAATGAAGTTCTATGCAGTTACTTCACTGAAAACAAGTGGTTTAGATTGGAGTAACTCTGTCACTGTACTATACTTTATACATATATGTGTATTGTCTCTCTCATTCCTAGTTGACAAAGGAAGAAAATCCAAAATGAAAAGAATTTCCAAAGCTGTATATCAATCAATCTTCTTTTCAAACCCTGATCATGATTTCATTGCTAAGTAGATACTTTCCATTCACAAGGGCCATGGGATTCCATGAAAGCTCTTTTTATGATTACTTCTACTTGAATCATATAATATTGATTTGGGAGCCTGTGTTATGCCAAAGAAGGGAAAATGTAGCCCATATAATTGCTATTAAGACTGTTTAACCTAAAATCAGAGTGGAAAATGTAAACTATTTTTGCAGGAAGGGAGGAGGGACAGCAGGAGTAAGGCAGCAAACTGAATCCATGCTTATGTGATAGTTTGTTCATGAAGTCTGAATATAGTTTTAGATTCCGAATAGGAACCCTAAAGCAATTGTTAGTATCTACCATAATTACATTTTTCTCTGAGTACATTTAGTTGCATAGAATACCCATCCTCATGGGAGCCCTATAAAATCAGCACCAGAGGAGAAACGTTGTGACCTTACAAAGTGAGTGCATGTCTGATACGGAAGAGTTCCAATCTCTTTTATGTGCAACTTGGTATGAAATGGGAGCTGAAGACACAATTCATCTTTGAGGATGAAAAAAAATGGCAGGGGAAATCGCTTTCCTTTTGGGGCAGACTCTGCTCCCTAAACAATGTGAAGTACTGGTGGAAACAGATTGGCATGGAACCAAGCGTGGACAAGTGTGCTGTGGGGCAGATCCACTTAGAACCTTCTGTTCCAACTAGTCACCTGCTCTTTCGTTCAAAACTGACTAGAATAGCCAACTCAAATTGGGAAAGACAGAACTATATTAATAATCTAAACTGTGTCATTAGGTTAATGAAATGGTGGCGGTGGAAAGTGCTGTCCAGTCACAGCCGACTTGTGGCGACCCCACAGGGTTTTAAAGTCAAGCAACATTCGGAGGTGGTTTGCCATTGCCTGCTTCTGCACCATGACTCTGGTATTCCTTGGTGGTCTCCCATCCAAGTACTAATCAGAGCTGACCCTGCTTCGCTTAATTTAAAACTTTCTGCTTTCAGGCAACTTTTTCTGCATTGAATTGACTGCTGATGAACACCTGTGTTTCTGATGTGGTAATTCCTGTGTACTACAGAAGATTGTGAGACACATTGTTGGGTGCATGAAGTGCTGGGTTTATCTGTTGGACCTAATTGTCAGCATATGTAAGCTCAAGGCACAGTGGAATTCACACAATATTTTTGTGCTGCAGCATGCTGCTGTGGAAGAGCAATAGTGACAGGCCAACTTCTCTTTTTAAGAAAGCTTGTTCACCATAACTAACTTTAGTGAGGATCCCCCTGAGAAGTCTACAAGGTATCCCGGGATTCTGTGGAATATGGTCTGAGAAATACTTAGTCTACAGTCCATTGTGAATTGGCATGCTTACGGGTTGTTGCATTAAAATAACACTACAAAGGACCTTTTCTTTTTGTGCCAAATTCTATTGTGATGGCACAGAAAGAGAGAGGGGAAGAATTTGCTATCTGAAGTGTTGCAAGTCACTGCCAAGGAAACTGCAGCCGTTTCGAAATGCCTGCTTGGAAGCTGCACTTGAACTGTTTTTATGGCATGTCAGATAAGGAGCCCCTGCCCAGAGGCTTTCAATTCTCTTAATTGTTCAGTGCAACTGGACTGTGAAACTAAGGGCATTCTTCCCATAAATTTTAACAGCCACAGCCCATTTGTCGTTTTCCTTGGCATACAGTTCAGTACCATGGAAGAAAATGGAGGATTAGGGAAAGGTTGACAACAAAGCAGTTTATAAAAGGTTAACTTGTTTTCACTCCACCAAATTTTAAAAAAAGCAAAACACCACCCTAGTGTATTTTGCCTCCTTCTATGGCTATCATTTTGGGTTTTTTGTAGAGCATAAACGTAAATCCTGATCACACTGAGGTCAATGAGGCTTTGTCAAGAACATCAACGCAGCCAGAAATTCTTTAGGATTTTTCTACTGCAACAGATTCGAGCAAGAAATTGTGTTATGCTTCTTTCCTGCTCAAATCAGCCTGATCAATCAAAAGAGTGGAGCTTTGTTAATGGTGATAGACACAGACTCCAATCGAATAATACACTAATATGGAAAATCTTGAAATTATATCTTTTGGAGCGAGAATTTGGCCAACTGGCAGAAAGTCTTTTTGGTTTGAATCCAAGCATGGGGACAACATAAATCTGCTTGAAAATCTGTTACAAGCCTATCTTTATCCTTCAAAGACGAATCTACACAACTGCAGTATCCACATGCCAATTCCAAATATCACAGGACCCTATGGATCACATGTGTCAAATATCAAAGCCCTTTAATTACACAAAGGCAATACTTAGGAGAGAAGCTTGCATAACTAATAACAATTTGTACGTGAAATGTTAAGTGACTCAGCGCTGCTGTATCTGGTACATAGGAATGACATTCTAATATAGTCTCCTAAATAAACCCTGTAGGAATTCAGATTATTTTCCAACAGGCAGCATTTGTCAGTTCATCATTTACAACTCCCAGCTTTCTAATTTATCACAGATACTTGATGGTTCAGAAATGTATTTAAATCTATCTGTTGATTTAAAAGATCCCCCCCCCCTGCTTTCCTCAGAGAACCTTGATATAGTGGACATTAAAATAATGTAGCCTATTGTCCTGATCTGGATAGCCCAGGCAAGCTAGATCTCAGAAACTAAGCAGGGTCAACTCTGGCAAGTGCTTGGATGGGAGACCTCCTTGGAATACCAGCAGTTGGGAGGTGGGGGCAGGTTTTATTCAACCAAGGCCCCAAAGTAGGGGTTGGTCACCAGAGGCTGCAATGATTTCCAGGTACATACACACATGCACACACACACACACACACACACACACACACACTAAAAAATACCCCCAAAATGTAGCTTAATGCAAAACAAAAATGCATCTCTGGGTGTTTATAAACTTTTTATTATCTACTAATATTTAGCCTATTATCTAAAATTATGACCCCTTTTTCAAGAATGTTATATTTTTGACACTGATAGATTATGTTTTGACCCTGGATTGCCCAACTGAAAGATTAGATGACAAATTATATTAGGAAAGTTAAAGTACGTAATTTCCTTGGCTGCTTGTCTGTAGAGCTGCACAGCTCCTAATGGAGTGCTTAGATGGCAAAAGTACCCTGCCTTGCTACTGCTGCAACATCAGACCTTACCCAGGTTCTTTATAACTAACCCTAATGTTACCCTACACTACTCAGAAGCAGCATAGCACTGTGGTAGCTACACTTATGGCTTACGCCTTCCCTCTCTATCTCTGTAGCCTTTTAAAGTCAAAAGACTCTGGAAATTGTCATGCTGCTAACTAGAGATTTATTTATTTATCTTTGGATTTATATCCCACCCTACCCCTATCCAGTCAGATTTTATAACTAAGATCAGCTTTTGCAACTGGAATGACTTCCCCACCATCAGGCTGCTCACTGGATTGAATCTGATTTCAAATGATGTTTGATGGACAGTCTAAGCAAGTTTGAGTATGAAACCTGATCCAGGCACTCAGAAATGGTTCTCTAAGGGCCAAACTAGAAGAGTTGGGTGTTCCTGAGCTCACCCTGAAGACACACTGCCATTTTAAAGAGTGAATTCCCATTTGGGAACTCTTTAAACTGCACCACTGGGGGTGGGATCCTGCCTTCCTCCCATGTCGTTTTTCTGACCTCAGTGCCACTGCAAAAATCACAATCATGGGCTGGATCCAGACTGTTTTCCAATGGCAGAATTCCTACCTCTTCCATCCCAGTGCAGCTCACTGATCTCCATGAATTGCCACTCCTGGGGGTAGGGGTTTCTGAGGAGTGTCATGGGAGGGGGCAATCAGCAGACATTGCCCATATAGTCTGGACCCAACCCAATGATTTTAATAATCTTAAATCCTCAAAATCATTTTACTCTGGAAAAACTAATTAACCTGAAATATTCCCTGAATATTTTCAAATGTTCCCAAAAGTGGTCCAGATTAAGTAGCATAGCAAGCAAATATCCACAGAATGTGACATATGAAAGAAATCACCTCACAATAAACACAGGATTGTAATACTACTAACTGCCAGCAGAAAGTATGGCTCTCCATGAGATGAAGAGGCAGTGATTTTGCCTCATTCTCCATCTTCCCTGCAATTCACGAACACATGCACTTTTTTGTCAACATGGATCCTGTGGCTCCAGGAATTACTCTTCCAAGGACCAAAAGGGGGAAGGGGCAGGAATTCACACGCATCACACCGGCAGTTGGTTAGCTACTATCCGTAGTAATGAAGAACTGTAGCAAGTGTGAAAAATTGACCCAGGAAATGAGAAAGGATAGGCCACATCCATACACCACCATGCAACTGTATACTCCTATGATGTTTAATCTGGCAGCAGTTGCTTTTATGAACCACGGATGCCACTCCTGAGAACACCTACGTTGGACTTATTTAAAGTTCGACCTCCTTTTTCTGAAACTGGGATTTGGTTTCACTAATTTGAAATACAACTCACTGTACTGACCAAAAAGGGACTATGAAAAAACAACCTCTCATAACTTCCTATATCATGATGGCATTAAATTGCCTTCATAATTATTAGAATTTTTTTCATGCGGAAGTACACTTAAAATGCTCTAATTGGGAAGAATTCTGTTTTCAAGCCAAAAACAAACTTGCATGTGATACTCAACACAGAACAGCTGC